AAGATGTGAGACGTGTATGCCCATTATATGTGCAGTTCTTCAGAAATTATGTACATGTGTGACTCTCTGCATATATTAAATATCAGTAGCTTTTGATTTCTTTCTGATTTTGGATAGCAGTTGAATACTTTCTTCCTATACCCCAGTGGTTGCCTCGTGTGCCCATCTTGGAAGCCCACATACTCCTGACTGGTTGGTGGTTGCCAGGGGCAGGGGGATAGGTGATACATTGGCAAAATGGGTGAAGGGGGTCCAAAGGTACCCACTGCCAGTTATAAAGTAAATAAATCATCGGGGATGTAAATGTACATCATGTTGACTGTTGACTGTAGTTAATACTGTATTGTATATTCGAAAGTTGCCGAGAGAGAAGATCGTAAAAGTTCTCATCACATGAAAAAGTACCTGTCACTCTGTATGGTGACAGGTGACAGACTGTGCTGATTGTTTCACAACGTACACAAATAGCAAATCATTATGTTGCACACCTGAAACTAATATAATGCTATATGTCAATTCTATCTTATTAAGAAATCAAATAAAACCCCCAGTTTCTGTTGCTCAGGGTTTTATGGGAAAAATGATGGCTCCACCCCTTGCTTCCAGCAAAAGTAAGTAGCTTGGCAAAACCTCTGTAGAGAGATGAGCCCCTGTTCTTCCTGACGAACCTCCAACTCTTTCTAGCTTCTGTGACAGACCAGGGTGAGATGTGAGAGATTTTTAACAGGCAAGGAAAGGTGACACAACGAAGTCAGCGTTGCGCATCATGTGAGCCTCGGTGGATGAGTGAGAAACGTATGTGGAATTGAAATCCTTCGTGAACGGTGGACAGAAATACATCTATCACCCTCCTTTCAGTTGGCTAAACAAACCAACAAACATGCCGATAAACCTCTTTTTTTTTTTTTTAAAGATTTATTTATTTATTTATTTGACAGAGAGAGACACAGCGAGAGAGGGAACACAGCAGGGGGAGTGGGAGAGGGAGAAGCAGGCTTCCCGCGGAGCAGGGAGCCCGATGCGGGGTTCGATCCCAGGACCCCGGGATCATGACCTGAGCTGAAGGCAGACGCTTAACGACTGAGCCACCCAGGCGCCCCGCCGATAAACCTCTTTTTAAAAGTATCTGTAGTTTAACTGAGTTTTATGATTGGGAAAGATTTTTGGAGCCCTCCAAAAGTCAAGAACTGATTTGCTTCTTGGTAACAGGTGGACTAGAGCCAGGATCTCCTGGTGAGCAGGCCGCAGAGGCTCGGAGGTGTTGTTTTGTTGGTTTTACAAGCTGGATCGGGGCAAGTGGTGTGTAGACGGATGGCAGTCATTGATTGAGGGAGCTCGCCCACCCCTCTGGGAGCCTCTGGTTCCAGGACTGTAAGTGGGTCCTTCTGTCTCTGTGTATGTGGTTTAAATGGCTAAGTGTGTTCGTTCCAGGCCTGATGATTTCCTCAGCAGGCAGAACCTGTTCAATTCAGTTCCTTCATATTAGTTCAACCTTCATCCGTACAAGCTGCTGGCCTTTGTCCAGAGTCTTCTTTCTTCCATCAACATATGCAAACAACTAGAGAGTTCTACCAACCTGGTGTGCCTTGAGCCACTGATTTTTATTGGCATACAATAAATATTGACTTGATTATGTTTTTGCATATCCAACATATTCCAGGCAGGTTTTTAAATTTTTGGTGTCTCTGACCACCATTGAGAATCTGATGGAGGCTGGGGGTCTTCCCCCTCAGAAAAATGCCCATGTGACACACACATATACATTTTTGTATTGGATTGAGGGGTGTTTATGGACTTCTGAAGTCTACCCTGGGCACCTCTCGGGGGGTGGAGCTGGTTAGGATCATGGAATTAAGAATTAAGGATCCAGTTCAAGTTAGATACCACCAACTGGTAACATCTCCAAGCTTTGGGTGATGGCGTTTTCCATAAGCGCACTCTCTTGCTTGGAGGCGTGGGTGCAAGAAAGAAGATGGTGAGATTAATTCAGAGGTAGAGATGGCTGGGCTGGGGAGAGTGGGAGCATACGCACAAGAGAGCGTGGGAACTGTGGCCACTACTGGGAAAGTGTTTGAAATAAACAAGTAATCAGAACTCAAGAGTAACCAGGAAGGATAGGAAAGGAACTCAAGAGGGGATGGAAGGGGATGTAATGTATGGTGATTAACATAATAAATAAATAAATAAATAAATAAATAAATAAATAAATAAATAAATCAAATAGAAAAGAAAGTAGGAGTGTCAGTCTTGGCATTTCATAAAGGTAGAATTCAGATCAGAAAGCATTATGAGATAAAAGGGTACTTGATAATGATTAAAGCTGCAGTGCCTGGTAAAAAGAAATGGGGACCCTCTACATAGAGTCAGGGAGTGTTCTCCTGGATGTCTTGTTTTATGAAAATAGAAAAAATGTATAAAGAATGAAGGGGGGGAGTATATGAATGTGTATATGTGTTCATTTTTAAAAAATAAAAGAATAAGTCTATTTAAAAAAAAAGAGGGGATGGAAGGGCTTGGATACTTGGGAGCGAGACAGGGGTTGCTGGTGGCTGGAGAATACGTTTGTTTGGAAATGTGAGTGGGAAATTTTCGTGCAGGATTGTGGGAGTGGATCACTTCTCTGTGATGATAGGGCTCAGGATGTGAGCCTGACAGTGGGTCACTCATGGACTTCAGCGTGTCAGATGTCATTTAGGAATGTAGAAGTTTTCCAGGATGCTTGTGGAAGGGGAGGAGAAAAGCCTATAAGAAGCATGATAAGATCATCAGTTAATTGGGGTCAGGGACCTCTGCTGCTTCGGAGGGAAAAAAGAAATCTCTCTGAAGTTGCATCTTACGTGGAAACATCTCTGTTGCTCAGAGGGTGTTCCCTCTACTTTGTTTCCTGTCTCCTACTCCCACATAGGCACATGTTTGGGAGTCAGACCCACCTGCGTTTATAGCCACTCATTACTGGGGGACCCTAGCCCTGTGTCTCAGCCTCCCTGGCTTCAGTCTTGCCGCTGAGTAAATGTTGGAAAATGATTTTTGCGTAAGTTTCCACTGATTGTGCTAGCTTCCATCTGGGTCCTCGGTGAGATATTGTGGGGACCCTGACAGCCCTGGTGCCTGTCATGTCACAGCTACCCAGTAACTCAGGTTTCTAGGCCCTTGGCTCCTTTCCTGCCCAACACGTGTGGCTAGAAATGGTCCCTTGGGGCTTTTTATATGTGGCTTTTTCATTTAACTCTTTTTGTATTCACTTTTTGTAGGCGATATAAGGAAAAAAAAAAACCCCAGGAAGATCCGATTGAACCCAGGCACCGAGTTCCAAGGGAATAAAAAATTTAAAAATTGTTATATTTTTTATGCACTTTTCTGTTAAAAAATCGAGTTAAAATAATAAATAAGCAAGAAAAGCCAAAACCCCCAAAACCCAATAGTAAAAAGAAAAACTTCAGTGAGATCGAAACGGTGAGGTGGAAACCACCAGATTCATTGGCCTTTATGGGCCCGATCTTTATTAGTTGGCAGTCTGGGTTCTTTTTTAGGCCCAAGGAATTAAGTGGATCAAGAAGGGTCTTTGAATTCCAGCCTTTCAAGCGCCTGCCTTTGGAAAGAGAAAGAGGTCGCGGAAATCCAGTAGCCAGAATATGCTTCATATGACAAAATGTGGGTGGGCACAAACACTGTGACTTGGACGGTTAGAATTTTCACACGAAGAGAACCCCCCCCCCCCCCAGCCCACTAACGCGCGGCCTGGCTCCCAAAGTAACAGAATCCGAGTCTCCAGGCCAGATTTTCCCTCTAGCCATTCCCGGCCACGCAAAGCCGAGCTGCAAGCACACAGAAAGGGATGTCTTCATCGCCTCCCAGGATGGAACAAACCCGCCAGCTCGGGGAGTGCTGAGAACCAGAGGGTCCCTCCGACGCCGGCAGCAGCCAACATGACTTAACTGCCCCCATCCCGCGCGGTCCCTACTCTCCAGGCGCCCCCACCCTTTCCGGGTGCGCGCGCACGAGCCGGCGAGCCGGGGAGCTGTGCGCCTGGGAGGTGGTGGGGGGCGGCGGCCGCCAGGCTCGCGGGGAGAGT